CGCAGTTGGAGCAGTAGTTTCTCTCTCTCTCTCTCTCTCTCTCTCTCTCCCCCATTCGATCTCTCCGTTCATCCAAAGCTCCTCCTCTGCCGATGGTGATCGGTCGCTTTTTTCTTTTTCTTTTTTTGTTTGCTCAATGAGAGTAAGTAGGCATCGGATAAGGATGTCCTAATGTCCTGCCTCTGCTGAACTGCGGTCGTCTCCTCGCTTCTGTCAGAGGTAAGTCATGACACCGGCTGCTGCCTCCTCAGGGCGCGCGTCATGCGCCTCGCCAGGGAAACAGGCGTCAGGATGCTGTGGTCAGGGCTCGGTGCTGATGCGTACAGTCGTGTTGAGCTGACTGTTGTGATCCGGTGCACCACTAAAGGGCAGCCGCAGGAGTTGCGAGCGGTTCTCGCATCGACGGAGGAGACAGGCGGACACTCAGGCTGCGTGCATGACTGAAAAGTCAAAACAGAACATGCGTCTGTATCTGCTTTTTATCTACCTGAGCAGCGGCATTCGTCATCATCACCACCATCATCATCATCACCTGTTTTCACAGTCTGCAGCCAAACCACTGGCCTTCGCATTTCGTCAAATCTCTTGATAATCTCTCGATATCCTTTACTATTCCAGCGACAAATCCTGAAGCATGTACCGCCGTCAAACATCAGGCGTCGGACGTCAGTCTGCAAGTTTTCGTGCATGTTAGCGACGTAGTATGAAATGTAATGTGACTTTCTCCACGTGAATGCGACGGAGTTACAACCAGTGAAAACACCAAATAATACAGAATAGAGGAGAAAAAACCGAATACGAATGGCTACTCATTTCATTGACGAGGAGAATACAGTTAATTGGGCTATAGTACAAAAGTAATAAAAAATAATAAATTATTTTTAAATGTATTTTATGTGCAGGAACAACAAAAGATCAAATTATGTTTTGTAATATTTAGAAATATATCAGATGTCTGCGTTTGCACTTTCACTGTAATAAGTGCTTGATTGTGTTTTCCTGAAATCATCTTTTTTTGTCTCATCATCCCTTTCACTTGCCTGTTTGAATCACAATATTTCTAAGTAAACCTTGTTTTGTAATTGTATGTTTACTCTTTATATTTCTATGTTTGACATTGACCTTTGTCTGCACTCTTCCTGACATCTTGCAGTGTAGGCTAATATGAAGACATCAGTTGGCAAACCAGACCCTGGAAAGCACCTACGATCTTTTCAACTCATTTGAAACTCAAGACAACAGCATGTCTCATTTCCAGTAGAGCCTGCTCCAGAACTCTCCCTCTACCTACCACCACTGAGTGTGAGGACACCGCAATCTGCACAGAGATGGCTTCAGACAAACCTTGGATGGATTCATTGGAGCGGAAACCCTTACTGGACCCTGCCTGCAAGCGGCAGGTTCAGCGATGTCTGAGGAAAAAGCTGAGGCCTGTGAGGATCTTGGGGCTCGTGGTCAGCATGCTGGCTGTAAGTGCTATCTCCTTCAGTGCCTTGACAAGAAGCTCGGGTGGTCTCAGTGAGCTAGTGTCCCCTGAGGAGAGTGTTCACCAATCGGCCCCTTACAGGACTCTACTTTTCACCCAGCAGCAGAAGGACCCCAATGTCTCGGCCGAGATTCCTATTGCAATGAAATCAACAGCAAATAGCAACGAAAGCCAAGGAGAGTATCCTAGAGACATTTTCAGCCTTGAGCAGAGGCGCAAAGGAGCAGTGGTCCTCCACATGTTTGGCATGATCTACATGTTCATTGCCTTAGCCATAGTGTGTGACGAGTTTTTCGTCCCAGCGCTCACGGTCATCACAGAGAAGCTGTCCATCTCAGACGACGTAGCAGGGGCCACCTTCATGGCAGCAGGTGGCTCGGCGCCGGAACTTTTCACCTCCATCATCGGTGTCTTCATCTCGCACAGCAACGTGGGGATCGGGACCATCGTGGGCTCAGCCGTCTTCAACATCCTCTTTGTCATTGGGATGTGCGCCATCTTTTCCAAGGAGATCCTCAACTTGACG